CCACGTGCGCCCTCGCGCCGCCGCTCTTCCGGGCCGGGACAGGCCACGCCCCCGCCCTACGGCTGCCGAGGGGGGCCAGAAGGGGCGGGGCCGGCTCTAGCCGCCAGCAGCCGGCCCGGGCCTCGGGGAGCCGTGGGTCCGACAGGGGAGCGGGTCCGCGTGGCTCTTGGGGCAGGCGGGGGACTAACCTGTGGCACCTGCCAAAAAGGCAACCCCCCACAAATGTAGGCTCAGCCTTGCTCAGGGCCGGCCCGTTTATTATAAACTGATGGTGGAGCCAAGCCCACCTTGACCTGCCCCGAGCCAGGGCGGCGCCGGCACGTGCGAGCCTGGCTGGGCGGAGGAGGCAGAGCAGCAAATCCCGCTGCCTCAGGCGACATCTGAAGCTCCCGGTGGGGTGGAGGATGCTTGCCAGTAGCAGGGCCACTTCTGGTTGCTGACTGACTGGTTTGGAATTGATTTGGATTGGGACACGAAACGTTTTCATTAAAAAAAGAAAGGTGATCTGCCCCCGCGCCCGGCCGCCCTTGGTGCAGCAAGGCAACAGGTGGGAGGTGACCGCTTCCCCTCGCAGCCCTGGTTGCAGCACACCTGCTGCTAGGACCGGGCCTGGCTCTTAGCCCTGTGGCTCCGGCACGCGGCAGAGTGCTGCTGCGGAGGCAGTCACCTCTCAGCCCTTTGGGAATGGCTGACTGCAGCATGGGTGCAGTCCCACTGCTTCAGGAGGCAGAGGGCACATTTACTGTTTGCCCGGAAAGGCCCCAGCTCAATTCGCTTCCACTTCACCCCTAGAAACACAGGGACAAAATACCAGGTGCTTTAACTTGCTGATCAGTAAATGGGCCCCATGTGCGCACCAGGGCTCCTGTGGAAGACAGGGCCACTAATTTCAAGCCTTGCTTAGGAGACAGGCCAACTGTGCTGCTTGCTCCGCCAGCTGCTCTTTCTGATGTCCTGCTGCTGTCCTGGACCTTTCTAGTTGTTTATGCACTAGGCACAGAGCCTGGATTGCCATAGTCCTCCATGCACAGATCAAATGTGAATTCACAGGCAGGTGCAAAGGTGTGAACAACAGCTGTCCTATGCCAAGGGGCTCATGACTTTTAAAACCAGAAAAAACCAATGTGATAATATCATCTGACCTGCTCAGCAGCAAGCCAGGGAATTCCAGAGAGCACCCAGGCTTTTCCACACCACACGCAGTCAGTCTCCGTGAGCTCCGATACAAATACCCACAAAGCAGGGAGGTTCTTAACATTTTTATTAGTTTTCAACACAGTAATCCTGTCTACATCAACAATTTTTTGTTGTTTTACATTTTGTAGTCATCTGTAAATATGGCATCAATGCAACTTCTGGGCATCAACCACCATAATGACAAAAATAGAAGGTCTCACCTCATACAGAGAAGAAGTATGAAATTCATTAAATTCCACCTGAACCAGAAAAGGGGTGTGGGGGGGGCCGAGGGAGGAAAAAAACTTCAAAAACAAACCCCAAATTAAATTAGTCAGACCACCTTAAATGTAAAACCACACATTTGTTACCAATTGCTACAAGAAAGAAAGAACAAAGGGGAAAAACAAATCCAATATATATATTATGTATAGATATTTATATATATATCATCTGAAAGGACACGCCAAAATAACAAGAAAAATTGCAGCAGTATCTACAGTCAAAAGGATTCCTACTAGCTTTCAAACATTCACATTAATGTTCAGAAGGAAGCACACGGAAGGACAGAGTCTGGGACAAACTAATACACCAGCAAGAGTTTATAGAATGGCTTGTGATGTCATACCATTGAAATGCAAGGTGTGTGTGTGTGTGTGGCATGTTCTGTTTTTATCCATACAGGAAGCAGGGTCATCAATGCACTCTCCTAAATAGCAGAGATGGGGCTGGGACATCATGTCCCAACCACCACAGGTCTCTCCCTCTCTCTGTGAGTATTTCTCGCTCCTACCACTATGCACTCCGCCTGCATCTATTCTCTTGCGCCCCTGACTAGTGTAGAAAGCTGATCCAGGTGGCTTAGGAGTCAGAGAGCTGCGTGGTTATAAAGGGCTTGAGCATGGCATGTTCACAGATGGAAACAACCAGAGCAGGGTGAGTCAAAGGGCCTGCAGACCTCTCATCCCATGCTGGATTCTAAGCTCATGAGTAACTTGTTCAGCAAAGGGGATTGGATTTCACCACCTGAAACAGGTCAGAATGGTGCCAGATAAAGGCCTCATGGACCTCGCTACTCCTTGTCCAAACCAGTTTCACCTTCCTTTGCCCAGGTGAAAGCATGAGGCAGAGGAGTCGCCTCATCCTGGCACTTAACGTAATACAGGTTTGTAACCAGGGTTCTGCCCTCACTCTTCTTGTGGGGCCTCAAGCTTGGAATAGTGCAGAGAACATGACTAATGCACTGGGTCTACACTTGGTTCTCTCGCCTCCCAATGACACGGATACCTCACTCCCCATCCCAGGGAATGGGTAACAGAATTATTTTATCTGGGCAAAGCAGCCCCACACACTGGATGTGTAAAGAGATGATGACGAGCTGCAGAAGCCTGGTTTTGTTGTGATCAGGGGTGGAGGCACCCTGGGGGTGGGGGGCAAGTGACACTGGGGAACTAACATAGTATTCAGGCAGCCCTTACCTATAAAGTATGAGATAACTTAGATCACCTTTCCCCAGGGCCCTGCCCTCCCGCTCAGGGCATTCCAGTCAGGATTGCTCTGAGGGAAATCTTCACAGGCGTGAGAAAACACCAGAACAAGCTGGCTCCCATGCCAGGGACCAGCAAGGCCTGAGCTGCTGTTGCATGCCATAGGCTCTGTACTGTTAGTTGGTGACGGAGATTGTGTTTCAGCTCATGTGCATGGGCTGGTTTTCTGGGGCAAGAGGGTCTGAATGCTATTCCCCACTGTCACGGTGATATGAAGCACATACAAGGAGAAAGCAGGCTGTGGATCAGGTACAGTGTGGTTGATGATAACATCCCGTGTGTAACAGAACAAACCCACACCCGCCACTTCAACCCTGGCTGGATAACAAACATACATGGCCCTTACCAATGAGGGATGGATCAAATCACAGACCCCAGGAAGAATTAAGCCCTTGACAAATGCTCGGTCCAGAGTGCTGAGCGAGAAATGAGTTGGACGCCACAGGAGTGGAGGGTGCTGGGGGAGGAGTGAGCCTTCAGCCTTGACAACAGGCTTCCCTCCAGCAGCTGGGGACAGGTGCAGAAGCAGATGTCCTCCTACATCCTGGTTCCTGCCTGCCTTGGTTCCTCACCATAGTGATGCTGGCACCAGAGCAACAACCGCAGTCTCCTGCCCACTCAGCAGTGGGCACAGGCTACCTAAGTCACAACATACTAATGTGTACTAATGGCAAACAAAACAAGCTGGCGTGCAGCCTGGGACACACTGATCCCCTGCACTCAGCCAGAGCTGCCTACCTCAGAGGAAGAGAGGCCTCCCCAGAGGCCCCGCCGCCTGCTGCCTGTGGGGACATGACTTCTGCTTTAGCCCCACCAAGCAGAGATGCCTTGTGGGCAGGAGTGTGAAAAAGCCACAACAGACACATCACAGATGCAAAGCTTTGCCATTCCCTAGTCTCCCAGCACCAAGCTCATCTGACCTCCACTACGGGTCAGCTAACAAGGAGGAGCCAGAAGGAACCATGGACTCCTGCCCGCTCTCTTGGAACTAACCTAGCCAAAACCTGGGACATGATGCAAAGCACGACCCTCCCACCCCACTCCACCCCACCCGCTTTGGGTTGGCTCCGCAATGGACTCCAGGCCTCAAAATGGCCCTTCTGCATCTGCTTCATGTACAGTCCTGGCCTGCTGGCTTCATGCAATTGGCCACCTACAAGCTTGTTTCCCCCCAACCACCACCCCGTGGCAAGGTGAGCATGAGAACAAACCATCAGTGAGGTCTCCAGGACACCACAGAGGATGTCAGTACCCGCCCTCCTCAGGCACTGTTACTTATTTCCCCTGCTTTCTGCCTACAGGTCTCAGCCACACAGGGCAGCCTGTTGTGCTGTACCAGCAGCAGCCCAAAAGCTGTCTGACCGTGCTGTACCAGTGTTAGGGCCATAGATGTGACCATCACCAGCTATCACAGATTCAAGCACACAGAACCACAAGGCCCCCCCAAGAGTGCCTAGCCAAGCTGTAGCCACCCCAAGGAGTAAGAATCCTGGGAGCCCCCATTGTGGAAAGTGCCATGATCAGTCCCCACATCACAGTCCTCTCCAGCTTCTGGCCTCAGCAGAGCCTTCCTGCTCTGCCACCCACCCAGCCAGACCCTCTGCTCTGTATGGAGGGGCAGACAGTAAGGCTGAGCCTGGGGACCAGGGAAGTCTGTTTTTGGTTGCTGTCATTGATTGTCCGTCTTGCAAAACACTCATTGGGAGGATGTGGGGAGAGGCAGGAGTGAACCACAGACAAGGCAACCCAAGCTTAGGTGTGGCCATGGGTCCCTTGGGAGCCCCGTGACTGGGTGTGTGTCCAGCAGGGGCTTACACCCAGGGTTTGCTCATTCCCATGCTACATCCAGAGCCAGTGGTACAGCTGGGGACTCCTCCAGTTTGTTGGAACCGGAAGGGGACTGACCCTTTCCTGGCAGCCCATGGCCTATGGGAATGGGTCTCCAGGTGCACCTCAAGTTCTCTATTCAGTGACATATTGCTATTTTCATGATTACAAGCTTCTACAGAGCTCACCCCCTAGCTTTTTTTGGGTGGGGTTGTAGGGGAGGGGCTAATGCCCCATCCTCCTGACATGTCACTTCCTGCTTTAAACAATTCAACTTCCTGTTCTGGGTGGGCAGGGTTCCTAGTACATGCTTTTGAGGCCCATCTGTACCAGGTTATTTTGCGCTGGCCAGTGAATATTTTCAGTGGGATCAAGACGAAATCCCTGTGACATCAAGGCAGCAGCCTGCCTGGGGTGGGCTGTCCCCTCACACATGCCA